CGTCTGCAGCGCAGGGAGTCCCCTTGCACCCTGGCTCTGGGCGCCCCCTAGGTTTTTTTTTTTTTTTTTTTTTTTGCTTTGCCGTTCTGGCCGCCCCGTTTTTTGTTTTATTTTTTGCTTGGGGTGGCCAAAAAGCCAGAGCCAGCCCTGCCGGCAAGAAATGATTTCTACTTGTACCACTGCCAGCGATGCAGGTGCCTGGCTGTACAGGATGTCAGGGAACGCCCTCTCCCGGTGTGCTTCCTCTGCTTCTTAGCAGGTACCGGGGACTGGGACCGGCGATGGGAGGCCGGTACTGGTGGCACACTTCACACCGATCCCACTGTGCTTGGAGCGGAGTCCGATCAGGGCGGCTCGGAGACTAGCACAAGGCCCAACTCCATGAGGAGCGCTCTTAGTCTTATGTCCCGCTCCTTTTTAGGTCTTGGCTTTAAGCTCTTGCAGATGCAACACTTATTGCTAATGTGGATTTCCCCCAGACACTCCAAGCAGCTTTGATGAGGGTGGCTGATCGGCATAGGCTTTTTGCAGCGATCACTAGGCTTGAAGCCCAGGGACCAGGGCATGCCCTGTCCCTGGGCTAAGTCCCTTAGGGGACTATCTAACTTATCGACAGTACTATAAGTTAAGTAGTTATTTTTGTTCTATTAATAGTTATCTAAGAACTATTTATACAATGAACGATAGGAAGTACCGCTGGATAAGAGCACTTGCTGAAGCAAGGAGATGCTCCAGCACCGTCACTGGTGATAAGAAGGAACTGAGGAAGGGGGAGCCAGAGGCGCCCCTTATACTGGTGCATATGCACGCCAATCCAGAGGACACCAGATCCAGTCCTCTACGGATATCACTGAGGGAAAGATTTCTGGCACCAGTGCATGTGGCAAGCACACACACCTAAATTAGGGCTACCATATGTCCGGATTTCCCCGGACATGTCCGGCTTTTCGGTCTATAAATAGCCGTCCGGGGGGGATTTTTAAAAATCTAAAAATGTCCGGGATTTCCCCCTGGTCGGCTATTTATAGACAGAAAAGCGGCGGCCAAGCGCCGCTGGGCACCCAAAGCCCCTTCCCGGCTCCCCCCATCCCCTGCAGCCTTACCATGCTGTCCGGCCTGCAGCTGTCTTCCCCCTCCTCCCCTCTCCTGAACGCTCCGCCCCCCTGCTCCTCCCCCTCCCCTGCTTCCCGCGAATCAGATCTTCGCGGGAAGTCTGAAAAGAAGCAGGGGCAAGCGGGAGGCAGCAGCAGGTAAGCTGGGGTGGGGGGGCACGAGGAGGAGAGCTCCGGGGAGGCGTGGCCCTGGCCGAGCGGCTCCCTCCGGCCTGGGCCGAGCGGCGCCCAGCAGCCCCAGCGGCTCCGGCCCCGGTTCCGGCCCCAGGGCAGCGGCCCCGGTTCCGGCCGAGCGCGCCAGCCCGGCACCAGCCGAGCAGCGCCGGCCCGGCCCCAAGCCCCGCAACCCCGGCCGGAGCGCAGCCCGATTCCTGGGCTCTTTAAAGCCGACCCTGGTCAGGGGACAGGGAGGGGGGGTTGGATGGGTCGGGAGTTGGGGTGGGGGGCTGTCAGGGGGGCAGGGGTGTGGAGAGGGGTCGAGGCAGGCAGGTAGCAGAGGGGGTTGGATGGGTCAGGAGTTCTGGGGGTCCTGTCAGGGGGCGGGGAGCAGTTGGATAGGGCATGGGAGTCCCCGAGGGTCTGTCTGGGGGTGGGGGTGGGAATATGGGGTGGGGGTGTGGATAAGGGTCGGGGCAGTCAGGGGAGAGGTAGGGTCATAGGGGGTTCTCAGGAGGGGGCAGTCAAGGGACAAGAAGCAGGGCGGCTTAGATGGGGGTGGGATCCTAGGGGGCAGTTAGTGGCAGGGGTCCCAGGAGGGGGCAGTCAGGGGACAAGGAGCGGGAGGAGGGTTGGGGGTTCTGAGGGGGGCAATCAGGGGGTGGGAAGTGGGAGGGAGTGGATGGGGCGGGGGCGGGGCTAGAACGGGGCTCCTCCCCCCCAGTGTCCTCTTTTTTGCTCGTGGAAATATGGTAACCCTACCTAACATGGAATGGACATGAGCAAGCACTGGAAGAAGAATATTTATGTTATGGTATTACCTTCTATTGGTTTAAACACATTAATGTAAGGAGACGTAATTTGCCCATTGCAAGCCCATATGCAAATATAAAAGGACCTGAGGCCCATTAACAGTTTCTGTCATAAAGTGGTGAATATTTATTATGTAAGCAATGCATATGCCAAAGCATTACAAGCAAAATAATCTAGTTGAAATGCTATCCATTGCAACCATTGCAGTTAATCTGTGTTTTACTATTTGCTTCCATTTATATCATAGGTTCCCCACCCCTCCAAAGTGCCTACCCTGATGTGCCTTAGACATATACTTGCCTGCTTCTGTTGGGGCTGGATTGGATCTATAGCATTGCTCACTTAAAACTACATGAGGAGCAAACAAGAACATAGGCTCTGACATACAGGTTTTGGAAATAAATCAATAAAAATACCATAGATATTTAACTGAAAATTCAAGCCAAAAAGACACATTCGTAATGGGACATAAGACCACCCTTGGTAGGAAACCTTTAGTCTTGAGTGACTCAGTATCGCCTACCCTAAGTATTGAAAATTCATGAGTCAGGCAGCCAAAAACCATGAGATTAACTTAAAAATCACAAGATTTTAAAAATAATGAATCTGAATTTTTATTTGCCTTCTAGGCTTGAGCCATTAGTGTGCATTCCAGTCATATTTTCAAACTTTCCTCTACAACCATTAGGGCTGGAATATATGCTTTCTTTTTGTTTAAATCAAGAGGAGATTTTCATGTAATCACATGACTCCAGGAGCTGGAGTTTGAACAGTAAATATCATGAGATTCATTGTAATATTGCAAGAGTTAGCAACGCACACAAGGTGAAGAACTGTCTGAAGTAACTGGACTCTTAGTTCTGGGAAAATAATATGAAATAAGTTGTACTCTGATTCAAGGAACAAATTAGATAATGTACATTCTGAGAGAGAAGTCTTGAATTTTTACAGAAGTGAAATTGTCTAATTCTAAATTGTATGAGAGT